GTTACACCGGCCTTCAGGCTGAAGTCTGCTGTTTGAAACTTTGAACATTTAATATCTTCACATTATGCACACATTGTTTTTGCATATGGAGCTGCTGTTGCTCATCACGTTGTTTTAGCTTTACAGTTAGTGGCGTCGTCAGCTTCACATCGTTTCAGTGAGTTTCTCAGCGTTCCTTTGGGTTATTATATTTAGTTTATTTCTTTAAACCTTGAATTAAAATGAAGAAAGGTTCAAAAAGTCTTATAGTTGCCCACATTTTCCTGTTGATATTAATTTCAGTTTTCCTGCACGAAAAGAAAGTAATGTAGGCTTAATACTAACTTGAAAGCCAAAACATTTGTGACCTTATTTTGACTTTTTCATTGTCTTAAAATGCTCTCTAAGAAGTACTGATTTTCACTGCTAAACATAATCTGTAACCATGGTGATTGAGATTAGCTCTTCAGAGTGTGAACACAGCTTCATAGCCCAACAGTCAGAACTCCTCTGAAATGGATTACTCGCATTTCTTGCTGTATCAAACTGTTTTTCCGTGTCACATATTGAAGGGAGATGTAACAGCGGAGTAATTGAGTTCGGCTCGATAATTTATGCTAGATTCGGATTGGTTCATTTATAAGGATAAATCATTGGCTAGGGGGGGATTGGGAGTGTGTGGCCTGTGGTCAATAAGACAAGACCAAATGAACTCATTAATCTATTTCAGAGTTGGGAAAGCAGAGAGAGTTTTCTAGTGTACAAATTGTATTCATATAGGCTGTGTATCCTAACACGAGTCATTAATAATCAGAAGATCTGAAGATTTGACGGAATAATTATGTAGATCCATGCAGCGCAAAAGAGTGACATTTGATTTGATTTCAAGAAAACTTGTGAAATTTGTCTTGCATCCCAGGATGTGCACCGTCTCACATGAATAACAAAAACACAACAGCTGCTGTGTTCAGCTAGCCAGGTAGCGGAGCAGCCTGTTATTAGGTGGGCGGGGCTTCGTCGCTCTATTAAAGAATAGAGAAAAAAGATGGAGGATGAAGCAATGAGATGAGCTGCGTTTGCTGTTTGGAAGTCTTTAGGTTTTAAAAAGACAGAGAGATGGGGAGGTTTTTTGTTTTTTATGAAAGGCCTAACCAGCTCCTCCACAAGTAGCAACAGGGAGCCAAGTGAGGTGGTGATCCAGTGTTACGCAACGCCAACAGGTGTGTCCCCCCATGACGTATTCCCAGCTCTGCAGTGGAAAATGTAGCCAAAAGGAGTGTCATGTTTAAGTGCAGTGAGAGGAAAAAGTGGCAATACAACTTATCTGAATTCATGTTTGCAGGATTAGTGTCTTTCACGTGTAATTTATTCATGGATTCATCAGCTTAGAAATCCACATTTTTGTAAGTTACATAGGTCTGAAGTGACTGCAGATAGATTGAGTATAGCCAGGCTTTAGATCTCTTTTTTTCTGGGCTTAAATCACTTAACATTGCTGACGCTACTGGGGATTTTATTAATTGGTTAAACATTGCAAGGATAAGTAATTTGCATTGTTGAGCACATTTCTTGTTCTTGCTTAACAAAGCAAAAAGAAAGCCTTCAGATGCAGCGAGGTTCATCTATTCCTGTGTTGTGGTGATCCCTCAGATTTGCATTCACTATAATAGGTTCTTATCCACCGTATGTTCATGCCCAGTTTCCTTTGTGTTGCTCTGCTACCGAATGTTTAATCCTTCATGGAAATCATGATTAATACTGGTCAGAGGTCAAATGTAGCAGATGATAGCATTTATCTCTGAACCTCTGCCAACTACGTAATTGACCCTGATGTCTGCTTGGCCGGGAGTGCCCTGAGAGCTTTGATTGATAATGGCGCTGCCACACATGTTGTCTTAAGTATTTATTTTAATCTATTGTTTGCTCTCTGACTTTCCCTCTCAGCACGCCTACTTTACATGGCATCAAAAGTACAAGAGCATCTGTTTACAACAATGAAACGAGAGCCCTCGGTCAAACCAGCGCACCTGCTTTTCCAGTCAGTCAGTATCAGAAGGGAGGATTATCCGGGGTTAGCTGATTGGTTCATTGGCTAACAACTTGTCAATCACAAGCCGTTAGCTGATGACGTGCAGTTTATCAGTCAAAGCCACTCCTTGCTCATTACATTCATTTTCAAAATACCAAGATGATGAGAGGAAAAACTCTCAGCTTCATAGCTGGACTCCTCTAATCAGCGGTTAGGCCATAGTGGCTGTGCAGTAAATGAATCAAATCGTCCTGTTTATGAGGGGAAGCACATCAGAAAAAAACATTCAGTGACAAAAGCTGAACCTTTTGTGTCCCGTTACATCTGGTGTAAAACTAACCCAGGATTTCATAAATAGAACATCATACCAACATGGTGGTGGTAGTGTGATTGTCTGGGCCTGCTTAGCTGTTTTACCACCTGGACCACTTACAATGTGTCCGGCCTTCAGTTCACCGTCTGAAAATTTAAGAGCACTTGGGTTACGCAGGACGATGATGTGAAACACACCAGGCATCCACATCTGAATTGCCCAAAAAACACCAAAATGAAGGTTTTAAAGTGGACTAATCAAAGCCTGGACTTGGCACGACCTTAAACAGGCAATTCATGCTAAATTAAAACAATTCTGCAAATAAGATGTGAAAGACTCATCACCAGTTATCATAAAAACACTTGATTGCAGTTTTTGCTACCAAGGGTGGCACAACCAGTTATTAGGGTTAGGGGACAATTACTTTTCCACACAGGGCCAGGTAGATTTGGACAATTTTTTTCCCTAATTAATGAAAAAATCATTTAAAAACAGCATGATTGCAATTACTCAGGTTGTCTTTGTGTAAAATTAAAATTTGTTTGGTAAAATAAAACAATAACAAACCAGGAAGAGGGCTAAATACTTTATCACACCACGTCTCTATGTCAAAATAGATTTGGATAGAACAGAATAGAATAGACCTTTATTGTCATTGGACATGTACAACAAAATTTGCATTACTTTGAAATGTTTGTCCCTGACAAGAAAATGTAATTCCTGACAAGTAGAATCCGTGTGCCTGTTTCTGTTTAGCAATGCTCGCAGTGAAGGGGACACTGAGGGTGTTATTTTGATGTAATTCAGCGCCTCACAGTGTGTTCTTACCCTGCTTCATTTGAAACCTTTACAGATGATCATTTAGATTGATTCTAGTGGATTTCTATAATATCAGTGGAGGAGAAGCTTCAGACAATATAGGAATGCTGCCGAGAAACGCAAATATGGCTATTTCGTTCTGTTCTGCCTATACTGTAAGTGGTTGGTAGTTAAAGAACACCTAACTAAGAAGCAGAGATTTACTTTGCAGACCTGCTGTATCAATTTATACTAATGGTTTCCTAATGTTATCCTTCCATTCAATCACACTAAATAGAATATGCTGAGAAAGAAAGGCTGTTAGGGACCCTTTCAGTTTTCCTCATTGAATTCAAAAAGATCCAAACTCTGCTCGAGATTTAAAATCTCAAACTTGCAGATGTAGCTTGTTTATTTTCCCCCTTCAGGGCCATTCAGAGATGCTGTAAGACCCTGAAGTCTTTGATGTAGGTTTTTCAAAGCGTCTGAGATTTAAGCGCTGATGTTGCGTTTTTGCAGTTCTGTCTGGCCAGCAGAATAAAAGTTTCTTGTTGGGCTAATCACATAATCCCTAGTTTATAATTTGGGATTACATTTGTCTGATATTTTTTGTGCAGGAGCCATTGTACGATGACGAATAGTCAGAATTTACTGAGATCTTACTGCTTCTTTAGGCAATAAATATCCCAGAAAGATATCTTTCTCCTCAGAGTCCTATATTGACTGCTAATCTAACAGAGTAAGTCTAGGCTTCCTTAGAAAGCAAATTTGCTCCCTCACCTCTGGCGCTCAGAGCAAGTGCTTCTCCGACAGCGCTGTCCTCCCAGGCTGTTTGTTAGCTAATAGCGAATGATGCTGTGGCAAGTTGAGT